TGCCACAGCGTCCAGTCCGCAGCGCCCACAGCAAACTCACAGCGCCCTTCAGCGCCCATAGCCCACTGGAATCTGCCCTGAAGCCGTGTACCTCGGGGGCACCTGCGCAGCATCTCCCAGCGCCAAATTCCCAGCACCAACGCCAACGCCAACGCGATGCGTCCATGTCCCCAGTCGCGCGCGTTCGTGTTTCTCGTTTCTGGGCCTTTTTTTCAAATCGTCTCCGCTCGTTTAAATACCGCCTCGTCCCAGCCCTGGTCTCTTCTCTACCCCTTCCCAACATTGGAACCCACGTCTGTGCAAAGTACCAGTCACTCTTTTTTCTTTTTTTTTTCCGGCTTTCTTCCAATCCTTTCCTTTTCGACACTCCCCTTTTCGGTCGACCAAGGATTATAAAAAAACAAAAACAAAAACAGAAAAAAAGAAACCCAACTTTGTCATTCGCCCATTGTGTACTGCTAGCAATCTCCAACCTAGGCTTGTAAGTGGGGAGGGCACGAGAGGTGCAGTGCCAGCGTGTAGAGAAGAAAAACAACGAACCGTCGACGCGATCTGGCCGAGGATCTAGCCGGTGGAGGAGCACACCAACACCAGGGAATCGCTGCTTTTGGTGCTGGGGAATGATCGCGTGAAGCTTCATTCACCTTCGCCTGGAACTGGACCGTACCGTTACCGTACCATGGACTCGACGCGAAAGCCGGCAGCCGAACCTGCGCTCCCCGCTCCAGCATCAACATCAACAACATCAACGTCAACAACAGCTTCGGCCTCGACAACCTCCGTCTCCTCGCTGGGCTCGCCCCTCAAACGCCCAGCTCCCTCTCTGCTGCCGCCATTCGAGCCGTCGTCTTCGCCCGGACTGCCTCGGCCCTCCAAACGCCAGAATGTCGGCGGCACAGGCGCCCATCTGCGGTATCCCACGCCGGTGCCAACTTCTAGCACCGGCATCCTGTCCAGCTCGCCGCTCCGGGAGAAATTGAGTGTTGGGCTCGTCGAACGCACGCCTCTCTCGGCCGTGCCGTCAATTGAGCTCAGCGAGAATGGCGAAATGGTGTTGATGGGTCGTTCGTCTAATTCTTCCCACTTCCAGCTCTCGGCCAACCGTCTGATATCGCGTGTGCACGTCAAGGCACGGTATGTGCAGGGCGCCACTCCTCTCGAGGCCAACAAGATTGAGATTACCTGCAATGGCTGGAATGGTCTGAAGCTGCACTGCCAGGGCCGCTCGTGGGAGCTGCTCAAGGGCGACAGCTTCACCAGCGAGACCGAGGGCACCGAAATCATGGTGGATGTCCACGACGCCCGTGTTTTGATCCAATGGCCCAAGCGGAGCTCCTCGGGTGCCGACTCCAACGGCCTCTTGTCTGATGCCAGCTGGGAAGACTCACCGCCGCGGTCTGCGACGAGAAACGCGAACCTGATGCTGCAAGTGTCCCCTCTGCGGAGAGCCACGCGTATCCAGTCTCCCGATAGTCCCACCCCGGCCCCTCGCCGACGCTCTGTGGTAGCAGCAGACGAAGACAGCGGCATCCAGATCTATGAGGACGACGACGAGGACTATCAGCCGGATTCGGATGAGCGAGACGAGGACCCGGTTGTCACCATTAGCATGCGGACAGAGGCCACGGCGAGCTTCACGAGCGAGGCGGATTCCGACGAGGAAGACGAAAGTAACCCTGACGAGGAGAACGACCCCATTATTCACTCGTTTGGTCCCTATGGCGCCAACATCTCGGGCCGCCTCGCGTCCATCACGACGAAATCCCCTCGCGTGCAGACTGCCAAGCGACCCTTGAAGAAGGGCTCTGCGGAGACGATTGTGCCGGGCAAGCTGAGCCACGATTCTGACGACGTCGAGGCCAGCCCGCGAAAGTCGAAAGCCAAGAAGGCGTCTCGTGATGAGCGAAGCCCCTCCGAGGAGAGACTGCCCCAGCCAAAGGTCGAGGTTGAGGACGAGGTCAAGGTTGAGGTCAAGGACGAGGAGGAGGAAGATGACGAAGAGGAGGAGCCGACCAGGATTCCCACCGAGGCTGATGCGGCCATCTCCAACCACGTCGTCAACCAGCTCGCGTACTCCCGGCTGTCTTCCACGCCGCTTTCCACCATTATGCACAACCTGCCCGCCGAGCAGATCAAGGGCATTTCCAGGGACGACCTGCGGCTCCTCATCGAAACCACCCCCTGCATCGGCATCATCAAGCGCCAAGGCAAGGACGCGGCCGGCAAGGCTCTGGAGAGCGAGTATTATTACATCCCCGAGGACGACACCGATATGCAGCGGAGGGCGGCGGTGGTGGATGGACTTCGAAAGCCCAGCTTGCGGGCGTGTCGAAAGCAGCACAAGGTTGGTATTTGTGATTTTTGGCGCGTTATTTTAGCTCCTTTTTTAGACGTGATGATTAACATGCTTTTGTGTAGCAATACTACTGGAAGCGCCCCAAGACGCCTTGAAGCCGGCAATCAAGCCATTACATTACGACGTGGAACGGAAATCGGATAGCGGGTTGAAAAGAAACAGAAAGGAATAAAAAGAGAGAAAAAATATGAAAGAAATACGGAGGAACGATTGATTGACTGATTGATTGTTATGGGTTCGCATATAAAAAGGTCAATACCCCCTTTTCTCGAGGCACCCCCGGTGTAATTCATCACCGAGCTGGGCCCTCCTGTTTATTGTGTTGGACGAGGACATGTAAGATGGATTTATCTTTTGAGTCTGGATTTTTTTTGGTCCCCTGACAATATTGGTCACGACGGATGAGAGGAAAATGAAGTGTCTATTTTTGTTGCCCAGGTTTTTCTTTTTTTTTACTTGGTTCCTTTTTTACCGGTTTTTTTTTTTTTTTAAACGCCCTTTGGGTCGCTCCTCGACCTTGCAGAGGAGCCAATTCGGTGGGATATTCGGGATCTGGGTGAAGAGGAAGGGGCCTATGAGGAGTTTGAGTTTGGTTTCATTCTGCTCATACGCCAATGCATCGTCATCCACGTCTGGAGGAGTTTATCTGGTGAACCCCCTTGGAATTTTGTGTTTTTGTTGTTTTACCCCAATATTAGTGCAATGAGAGAGATGAGAGAGAGAGATGGAGTAGGGACAAAAGGACGGATACACGACACCGACACCGAAACGGATACACAAAGAGAGAGATGAGGAGAAAGACAGAGGCAAAGACAGAGAGAGAGAGAGAGAGAGACTGGAGATTACGGAGGCGATCGATCAACACCTGCACCTGCACCTTGAAATTGTTGCCCTGTACATATAACTATAGCCGAGCTCATCACATCATTGCACAAGGGCGGAAGAGGCCCCCGAACAAACCATGAAAAAGGATGACCCTGATCCGAAGCCCCGTGTCCCGTGTTCCCGTGTTCTGTGTTCCCTGTAACAAGCGAGGGGCCATTCGCCATTCCGTGATGTGTAACCCGAATTATATCGATACTTTGACTCAGCATGGCCTCTTCCATCACGGACGCGAGTAATCGACTAACTTGTTACAAGCAAATTATCGGAATCGACTAACTTGTTACAAGCAAATTATCGGAATCGACTAACTTGTTTCAAGATTATCTATCGGAATGCAAGGCATGTAACACCACTGCTAATCACCGCATCATACGATAACCAGAGCCTAAGGGTTCAAGGTTTTGATAGGCCGACCCCGCCTTTTTTTCTCCTCGGGTAGTGGTGGTGGCGATATTTAGCATGACGGATCTTGGGAAAGCTCGATTTTGAGGGGTTGCATTGGGGGTTATATATTCCGGGTTGATCCAATCTTGTTTATTTCTGTTTTTAAAATTCTGATATCTCAACAAAACCTTGATTTAACCTACATCATCTAGTATGTCATATCCCTTGGTGTGATGCGATGTGATGTGATTGATGCTGATCGATCTTGATGATTCTTTATAGCAAAGCACGAACTACAACTCATACCTATTTATACTGAACGACATCTCTTCAAACAAACACAAACACAAAACAAACAACAACTACCGAACCAAATTAAACAAAAAACCATCACCGAAAATGGACTCTTCACCACCAACAACCCCAACCAAAAGTACGCATATCTCCCCATCCTCAGCCCTCTCAAAAACACCCAGCTAACTTCACCTTCTCTCTTCTCAGCCCGACAATCACAAACCCCTCAGCAAACTTCTCCTCACCCCCAGGATTCATCCCCCGCCTGCCAATCCGCCATCAAACACTCCTCCTCGTGGAAGCCCAGCTCGCTCGACCGCCGCCTTAGCTGGAGCTCCCAGGACCAGAAGCACGCGCTGCAGATGAGCGGCATTGATGGCGTGCGCTCGGGACACCAGGGTTTTACGGAGCGATGAATGCCTTTAATCCAGTCGGGGGGGGG